GAGGGTAAAATTGTAAAATGAGGAATAAGAATACCTAATCGCACCACAATCGCAGTTTTTTGGTGCGATTTGAGTTGTGTACAATTTATTAAAAAGTAATCACATTCAAAAAGTTAATTAATCGCATCACACCCAAAACGGATTAATATACGTTGGTAAGCAACGATTACACTAATCGCATCGCACCCGAAACAGAGAGCCATTCGGAGCCAAAGACTCAGATGGTCAGATCGATCTTGAAGTAAAACAACGACAATACAAGACAACAAAAATGAGATAAATGGGTGAAAATAAAGTTGCAAAGGATGGCAGAACTGAAATTAAGAGAAAAGAAAACACCAACCATGATGAGTATTGTTAACACTTAGCTTGGACAGAAGCGTTCCCTTGTCTTATCATCCTCCCAATCAAGACCTTCTAACCAGTCAAGCTCCGCATCTATCACTAGTTTACTCTCCTTTCCGCTCTCAAAGTTAAGCGGAAGCCTTTTCAGCCCTGGACATAGTTCTACGAAGATCTTGCTCAAACACTTGAAAGGCAAAGGACTCCAGTAAATACTTGTCAGTCCTTGTAAGTCTTTAAAGACGAGTGATTTCAGCTTGTTAAATGGAATAAGATCTGGTTGCACTTTCATCACCTCTTCACCTTTCGCTTTGCTCAATATTTCTTCAATATCTTTGGCCCGTTCGACATGTAGACTAATAAGATTTGGAGCAAGTATGAGCCAGGTCAAATGCTTTAGACCACTACAATCACGTAATCTCACTTCGGATAGCTTCTCGAAGAGTGCACTAGCTGGACTCACCGGAATATTGGTGCTGCATGTAATGTTGATCTTTATCTCCTTAATATCAGAGTCTGATATTTCGAGGTACTGAAGACTAGTCGAGGTTTCCGCAATAGATATGCCATCTGCGTCTGCTGCAAAGTCTTTGATATACAAACCTTGAGCATGAGTAGCCAAACCCTGACAACCACAAAAGCTTTTCAGAACAGCCCAATCGCTTAAAGAGATAGTCACCACACTTATCTCCTTCAAGTGTTTTAACTCTTCTATGAAGTTAGGGGTTGAACAAAATCTGGAACCGAGTAGTCTCAACACTCTTAACTTCAGTAAAGCCGATATCCCAACGATATTCCGAAGCCTACGAGTATGCTCCAAATTCAGATAGATCAGTAGTTTCAGCTCTTTCAGACCAACCGGTAGTTGCTCAATATTTGTACCTGATAAATTAAGATACAGCAAGGAGCCTAGTTTAGAAATGTTGGCCGGAAGATGAGTAAGTCTTTGGTTAAAAGATAGATCCAAAACCAGTAGAGACGGCATTTGGAGAAAGAAACCCGTAGAAATATTCTCCAGAGTTTGATTGCGGAGGAGTAACGTTGTAAGATTGGGGCAGGAAGGACTGGTAGATACCTCCTTGATATGATTGTTTATGAATGAAACCCTTTTCAAAACATTCCAATTCAAATCATCAGGAATTTGAACCAGTGTTGTATCAGTGTTTACGATAATACTTCCTTCTGGCTCTTCAATGTCAGAAGCATCTAACAAGGCCGTTTTACGAATCATATCGTGCATCTTCACTTTTCCTTGGTTCTCCATCAATAAACAAGCACCAACAAGTTTATCGAAAACAACATGACCCTGGCCACGGGCTATGAACCGTTCACATTCCCAATACTCTATTAGTTCCTCTTTTCTTATCTCACAATTTTCTGGAAACAAAGCGTAGTATCGGAAACAACGCCTGACCTTATGATCCTCTAAGTTGTCGTAGCTAAACTTCAAAATGGCCCGGATTATATCTTCCTCGGTAGAGAACTCAGCAAGAGATGAACTCTCTTCACTTGATAACTTTGTGATGATTGCACTCAAGGAGTTACTAGCATCTCGCCATTCCTGTACAGTTTTCTTGAGTGCCATGATTTGGCCAACGGGATTGATAACAACTGGCAAGCCACAACATTTTTCACAGATTATTCTTGCAAATGCAGTTATGTCTGGACTACTTCTTAACATATCTTCTCCCACTTTATCTCGAAACAAATCCCATGCAGCATCCTCATCCAAACGTGTTACCTCCTTTTGCTCATCAGCCGCCATGTCTAAGCAAACTTCTCTGCGTCGAGTGGTGAATGCTATTTTGCTTCTGTTTTTCGAGTCTGGGGCTGGAACTCCTATCTTTCTTACGTCCACTTTAACCAACATGTCATCCAATAGCAACGCATATCTCTTGTCCCTTAAGGCCCTGTTGATATCAAATGCCTTCTGGTTTTCTGACTTTTGTATCCATTCCTCATCATAGATTTCCAAGCGTCTTCCGATCTCTTCTTGAATCCTCTGGACCTTTTGATCCTTAGGCACCACTACCCGAATCACGACATAGAAATCATTCTCTCTATTAAGGAATTCGTTGTTGATCTGAAAAAGGAGAGTGGTCTTGCCAACTCCTGGTATCCCAAATAGTCCAAGGCACCCTACTCTGTCTTCCATGAGGATATTCCACGTGCTCTCCACCATTGTCCTCCGGGAAATCGTTGGGTCGATAGGTATCCCCTCCACCTTCGTTATAACATAGCTCTCAGCCACTACTTTGAAATCGTCCCCTTTAGAGTATAAGTTTTGAACATCCACCAACATCGACCAGACCTCAACACTATAACTATAGCTCGAACAATAGCTCATGGAACAGTATCCACATATGCAGAGCTTCTGGATTTCAGACTCTGCGTTTTTAAGCTTGTCTTCAACTTGGAGGACAATCTTTTGGACATTTGAAAGCCATAGTCTGACTTCAGCACGCCGTTTCAGGCCTTTCATCTCCTCCACTTGAACCCTTCTCAACAAATCTTCACGACGTGCCTTGACTTCTTTGAGATCTGATCTAAGAGTCTTGACATGATTTTGGAGGTTGAGAACGAAGTTTTTGTCACCGCATAGACAACTTGCGATAAATTCCAACGATTTATCACAAGAACATGCTCCTTGCACGGGAATACCGATACACCCTCCCATAGTACGTACTGCAAGGCAAAACACAAGTTTTGACGAAACTGCAGTCAATGAAATGATTCAAAGATGAGTAGAAGTTTCTGCATCAGTTGATGAGAATATTTTTTTCTTTTTTTTTAAATGTCTTTGCGTTTTCTTTTAGCTTCTTGTTGTTCTTGGGTCATTGCTACTCTAATCCGATCCAAGTGGCCAAGAACCACCCAATCACGTTCGACCAGTGCTTCTTCTCTTATATTTCTTTGTGTGTTCTAGCTCTTCTTTTAATAATTCTTTGTGCTTACTTAGTAGTTTAGTAGTGCTAATTCGCATCCGATCTAGTCAACCAAAACATAAAAAAAAATTCATCCGATCCTAATGACGGAGAACTAACCAATCACGCTCGGCCTCTTGCTTCGTTTCTAGTACTTCTTTGTGCTTTCTTATTTATATTTTTAATATTTCTTTGTGCTTCCTTAAGCAGTGCTAATCTCATCCGATCCCTGTGACGAAGAACCAATCAATCACGCTCGAGCCTAACCTTTTTTCTGCTCTGCAAACATGAGCAATCCTGAGTGCTTCACATAAAAAAAAAAAAAAAATCATTTTGCATATCTTTGGTAATCGCATCCATACTTGTGTCCATAGACTCAATTTTACTCGACCCTAGTGCTCATATCTGTTCTTGACTCAGTTGCTCTTTTGATCGTCCGGTTTTAAACAAGAAAAGAAAAAAGTTTGGCTGCTCTTTTCTTCGTGTACTTGATCACCATCCTCGTGTCTCTATGGGATGTTGTATTTCATGTCAGATTGAGGTCCCTCGGGTGGACTGTAATGTATATAAACATTACATTTTCGACCTTGAGAAAAACCTACGCTCTCTGAAGGACGAGGTTAAGAAGGTGGAGTTACTGCGAGATGACATACTCAACAAGATTGTGAGAGAAGAAGATAGAGGTCTCGAACGACTAGCTTTAGTCCAAGTGTGGATTACAAGGGTTGAAACGTTGACAC